AAGCATTACTTTGAACCATTAACTTGTTAACATAATTAATGTGAACAAAAGAATCTCAAATTCACAAGAAACATCCCAAATATAATAAACTCCATAATTTTAGGCAGAAAATCATATAAGATTTGAATTACACGTGCACGTTTATCTTTTCAAAGAAAACGTGTATAAATATATAAACAGTCCAAAAATAAAAGATATTGAAAACTTAGAATTAAAAAAGAGTCAAATTATGAAATAATATTCCCCCCAAATATAAGTCATTGCTGACCTACCTACTGTAGATCATATATGCATACTAAAAGGGTTTTCAGATGAGGAATATCAAACAAGATTATATGTTTTACTTTCTGAGTATTTAATGCAATGATATATTTTTTTTTAATTTTTGCTCAAATTAAAAAATAGGATTGAATTCTTTTTAATTTTTTTAATTAAAAAATAATGACGTGTGAGCGAAAAATATTTTATAGATGGCAATTAAAGTATAGCCAATGTAGCAGCAATCAATAGCAGATTCAGAATTTTTTTTCTCAAGGGTATTGAAGAATTGTCGATAGATTTATTAATTTTATCGATAAAAAAATTATTTAAAAATTTTTTTGAGGGTGTCCAAAGAAATATTTTCTTTCAAGTTTTTTTATTTTACAATTTTTAGATGTCCATGAACACTCTACTAATACACATGGATCCGCTTCTGGCAACCATTACTGCAGCTGACGCCAAACCTGCAAACATGGTTGATGTATATACATATATACATATATATATATAAATATATATGTATATATGTAAGTATGGAAAGTAAACAAGCATGGGCAGCAGCAGTTAGGTTAGCAAAAATGAAATCTTAACTGTTAATAAAAAAGTGACATGAGAGAAAGACTTAAGTATAATTAAGAAATGAAAAATGTGAAGTCAAAAGATGGGATTTTAAAGTCAGTAATGGGTTCAATTTATATCAGTTGGAAACATATGGACGGTGCTAGTTATTGGCAGTGTCTTAAAACTGCTGATGAAAGGGGAAAAGTAATGAGAATTTGACTTTGATTATGACATTTTTGATAGATTATTGGTAGCCTTAAATTATTTTTTTTAATTGTTTTTTTCATCGATGACAACTGATGATTTCATCACAAACTTTAAACACCATGTCTGGGAAATACTTGACTCTTGAAATTTGAAATTTTTGTGAAGCTCTCGCTAGTCAAATTCAGGGTCCATTTTCTTGCCCATCTTGATAGGCAGTTTTAACCTACCAACCCTAGTTACTTAGAAAAAAAAAAGTATTGGAGTTAGATCAGCCAAGGTTTTCGAGCTCGAAAGTCAATTATAACCCAAAAAAAAAGAAAAAAACCCTATTTGAAGTTCAAGATATGATCATATTTTTTATTTGAGTTATTATTTAAGTTCGAATTTGAAATTTTTAATTTTGAAATTGATTTTTGATTAAAAATTTTGAAACCGATTACGATACCATTGAGCATGAAACTGGAACTAAGCAAACCTTTCTGCCAACCAAAAACCAAGAATTTCTAGTTTTCAAAAGTTTGGAAATCTAAACAAATTTCTGTGTAATTCTTACGTAATTCCCCCATGTATTAGGTAAACAGTTAACTTTCACGTTCGTCCTGTCAAACTTTTCTTTGTCTATGGTTTGATTGAGGATGAATACTTTGTAATGCTCCCATAAATGAAATGTCAAATTTGTGACCTAAAGATTTAAGCAGACGACCATGAACGGATTCCCATGGAATTGCAGAAAATCCAGCTGCATAATCCAAGATTAAATATACAAAAAAATTGTGAAAGACTGGGGTTCATTCCCCACTTCCAAGTTATTGTGCATTTCCAGTTTTCCTTGAAACCGTGAATAAGAGTTTCTTTTCAATTTTTTTTAAAGTCCCACAGTCAAATCTGGAACAGGAATAAGGCTACCTTTGAAGGTCCTGTTGGAAGTATAGCACAGTTTACTAATAATATGCCAGTTTGTTTAGGCAACCGCCACTTTGGATCGTTGAACCTAAATACTAATTCCAATTTCCTCAGTCAATAGTTCTCCATACTGCTAATGCTTATTCATCTTGACTCAATGTATTTAGACATTTGAAGAGAAAAAAAAAAGACTTGGTTTGCTTTCCTAATTATAATGACGTTTTAGGTTAATTATTATAAAAATCATAAAAGTTTTGTCAATCACGACATTTAACACATTAATATCCTACTCTATGAAGGTCCATTTCTAATCCTTCATGCCTGAGGTTTTGGCAGAAAAATGTGATCTAATACCCTGCTTTAAGACTAAACTTTATTAAATGAGTGATGTCCAATCATAAAACGCATATGCTACGGTATGATGGGAATGCTCCCACTGTTAGGATTAACAATCCAACCCGCCTTCGATGGGTTTTGACCCGATTCAATCTCATAGGATCGATTTTTTTTTTTTTTAAAAATCAAGTTTCGAATTGAATCAAAGTATTGCTAAAAAAAAATCGAGTCAAGTCGGATTCGGATTTTAAACAAACCTGACCCGACCTAATATTTATATAAAAAATAATTTTTTAATTAATTAATTAATTTATATATTTAAATATTTATATTTAAAAAATAATATTTTATATTTTAAAAAATAATATTTTGTTAATTTTAGATCGGATCATATTAGGTACAATTTATACAGTGATGAGTCGGGTATGAAAAAAATAATAAAAATTTGGATAAAATCGGATTCAGGGCAAGAAAAAATCCGCCCTGACTCAACCCGTTGCCAACTCTACCCACCATGCTCCCAAATGCAGCCTTAATGAAATGGCTTTAACTTGCACGACTGCTGCTAAACACGTAAGCCGCGTGTTTAAGGTCCAAAAGCAATTGCTAAATAAGCCTTCATCTGGTCACCAAGCTGTTCCTTCATATGTTCATGCAATAGGCACTCAAATTGACAATATATGCATTTCCTTAGTCTGATGTTGTGCAGTAATAGAGATGACGAATGACTTTGGAGAAAGAAGAATTGGCGGAAAAGAACACGGTAAAGCTAGTGAAAAATGCATTATTTCCATGATTTGGAGAAACTATTGAGTGCCACCATCTCTGAAAACTGTGAAACACATTCATTTGAGTAAAATGCATGTTAGAATATGCACCAAGGAATTTGAGGGCAGCTTTCATTTTTAAATCTCAAGGTTCATATCACCACACCAATAATAAATCCTAAGAAATCTCGTCTGATAGACTGAAAAGCAGATGTTGGTGCAGAAGTTAGCAAAAACACTCATCTTGAAATTTAGAAGGAAGAATTGTTAGACATCCATGATCCATCCCAGCACTTATGTCACTTATATAGCTTTAATTACCACCCCCCACCCTACTAATTCTCAAAACATGTTCACTAGATTTAACACTAGATTCTGAGCTTGCAACTGTGATTTCATACGACACCGAAGCACTGCTTTTGACTGATGCCACAATATCTGGATGCATACAGTACAGGAACTAGGAAAATACTTGATCTTCAAAGATAACTAGATAAGAATGCCACCTGTTTTCAATATCTCTTTTGCTTCAGGCATCAGTCATGACATCATGTTATTTTCAAGAAGAAAATCTAAACCACTTGACAGTACTTACACAACTGGCAACCAAAAGCTTTGACATAAGCATGCCTTGACGACATGTTTAAACCAGTACCACACAACATGTTTAGTATTAAATTTAGAGCTTGCTAATCTGATTTCGTATGACACCTAAGCGCTGCTTTGTGACTGGTGACACAATATCTGGATGCATATGGTACAGGAATTAGGAAGACACTTGATCTTCAAATATAACTAGATAAGAATGTTACCTGTTTTCAACATCTCTTGTGATTTAGACATCATTCATGACTACATGTTATTGTCTAGAAGAAAATCTAGACCAGTTACCAATACTTACTCAACTGGCAACCAAGCATTGACATAAGCATGCCTTGAAGACATGTTTAAACCAGTTCCACACTTGAGAACTGGTTTGTACATAACAATCACACTGAATTTGTCCATTACAGTTTACCACTAAATAGTATAATCACACCTGCAAACTGCAATCAATTAAACTTGTAATATCAAACCTTATTTCAAAATTTTGTGCATAATCTTCACAAAAAATGACGCATTTTACAATCAAATCATTTGAACATTAGAATCTAAACATTCTACATTGCTCCAAGCAATCACACAACAAAACACCATTTAAGGCAAACCATTCAATGGAAATCATGCGAACATTTGCGAAATTCAGAAATTCAATTTCCAGAGGACAAGTAACATGACATGTGAAAATAAATTAAAAAAAAAAAGAAATTGGTACTTTACATAAAGATTTTGATTAATCCCACCGATACTAAATATTCTTGAACCTCAAACTTCTCTCTACCAAACAAAAAAAAAAATGAAGAAAAAAAAAACCATTTGCTGATTCCTGATTAAAGAAAAAAGTTTCAACTTTGAGATAAGTTTTCTTGTTCACCATCATTGGATTGTTTTACTGTACCAAATTTTTGCTTGAAAGAGTCTTGCCTTTGCATCCACATCATATGCCCCTTCAAAAAACCATAAAAAAAATGAAAAGAAAAACCCAAAACCCAAAAATTCAAATGCAATAAAAAGATTGAAAACCCAGAAAAAAATGTTAACTTCGCAACAAAATATCAGCTTTTTTTTAAAAAAATTACCTGGAGAGCAGCAGCCCAAGCAATGAGGAAAGACGCAAACCAGAACTTTTTGTCTTTGAGGAGAGCTTGGGCATCAAATTTTGCCATGAAACCCTAATCCTAGATTGCCTCTTTTTGCTGTATTTTACTATTTTAGGGTTTTTCGATTAGGCGTAAAAGATGAGATTTGGGGTGGTTTTCTTTGGGTTGGGCCCTTCTACAGTTTGCTTCCCTGCAATCTGATACAGTTGGCATCTGATGCTGCCATGTCATCAATAGAAATTCCACCACCCCTTTTTTTTTTTCGTTTTCTTTCTTTTGGCGGTGACTTACCGTTCAATTATGAACTTGATAAAAATGAAAATAAGTATAATCAAGTTACTTGAATGCCCTATTGCTGTATTATGAAAGCAATGGTTCAATTGTTTCAAGTTAAAACTCTTGGGAAAAAAATGTTTGTATAGACCTTTAGATTGCAAGACCTTGTTTTGGAACCAACAGATTCGAAGAGGGGCAAAACAAAGCTGTTAAGTTTTCTTGATGACTAGAATGTCCAAAATGTTAATGAATTATGACCTTGATTATCCTAAATCCGAAAACATCCATCAATGCAATTCAGTTTCTGCTTCCAGATATTCAACAGAGTTGCTTGTCATAAAAATCCATGTCTGAAGAATATCAGATAATATAGGCTACATGTTATACTGTCAAAACCAAAAATAGATATGCTGCTCAAAATGAAAGGAACTTGTATCACAGTGCATTACAACCACCTGCGAGGAATCAGGATTACCAAGCTGGAGAAACGATTGAAGGACAGTTTCAAGGTGGCAATTTTCCAGTTAAGTAGAGAGAAAGTTTATCTCTCATGATCAAGGCGGACTGGTCAAAAGATTCACAATTTTGTGGACGATAGCCAATGTCGTGATGATGGGACAAGGGCATATCATCTAGTACCTCATCCTCAAGATCAATGAGAATGTTGTGCAACAAGCAGCAAACAAGAACAATTCTTGGCAATCTGTTCTTATCAGGCATCCACATCACACCATGTATTATCCTCCACATCTCCTTGAGCCTGGCCAGAGCCATCTGTGCTACCATTCTGGTTGCAGCATGCCGTTTGTTGAACTCAATTTGAAGATCTGAGAGGCCTTTCCCTTGATAAGGAGTAAAAAGCCATGGCAATAGGGGAAAACCTGCATCCCCTATAATATATTCTCTTATTTCTGCTCCTTCTGAAATGTTTAGCTTCTTTCCATTTAGCCTCTTTCCTTCTTCAGAAAGTCTGAAGAGACCTGAGCTCCTGAGGACAATGGCATCACTTAAACTTCCCGGCCACCCAGCAATCACATCACGGAATCTCATCTCTGGGTCCACAACTGCCTGCAAAATCATGCTGTAGTTCTTCTCCCGATCAAACCAGACATTATTCGATGGGTCCATTGTAGGCAGAGTCATGACAACGTGTGTGATGTCAATTGCACCAAAGCAATTAGGAAGGCCCCGGATTTTCTCAAACTTAGACTTTATTTTCTCCATCTCTGCTTCAGTTGAAGGCCAATTGAGGTGGCACAGCCCTCTTTCCTCCATTGCTTCCACAAACCGCCAGGTTATCTGGGAAACAGTTGATTGATTCATCCCAAAAGTATCACCAATGATTGATAATGATTCGCCAGAGCTAAGCCTTCTAAGAGCAACAGCTACTTGATCATTTAGGGACAAAGGCTTGCCATTTACATCAGTGAAGCTTGATTGCCTAGCCATCAGATCTTCCTTCACTAGTGAACAGATGTAGTTGAATGTCTTTCTTGAAATTCTGAAAACTGATTCAAAAGTTTTTGAATCCTTTGATTGAGATAAAGGACCTAAAAAGTGACAATAAAACAAGGTCATTTCTTTTATAAAAGGAAAAACTTTCCCTTTGGTAAATAGAAAAACATGTTTTATGGATCTTAAAACTTTATGTAAGATCACTAGCTTAAACCACTGAAACTCAACCACTAACTAGATAGCAGCCTCAACATTACTGTTTTATACACAGAGCCACCAAAAATCTGTTACTCCAATCATCACAAGGCTCACTGCATATCAACCACATTGTGCTTGCAATCTTAAATTTTGAACGCCCCAAAAGAAGATTTTCAAAACAAGACTAAAGTGCACATATCTTTTTTATTTTCATCTAAAATGCCGAAATTATCAGATAATTCAGTATGTTCTTACCAATTTACAGGCTATCCTCAAGCTCTCTAGTCATGAACAGCAGAGAGAAATTTAAAGCACATTAGTGACTAAGAGAAATTAATGACAACTGAATCATAGCACAACCCAATTGCTGTCGTTACATAAGTGATTTGAACATGCTATCATTCATCTGATTGCAAGTCAATAAAGAAACATTGCATATGCAGAACTGTCTCAAAATTCTTTCTGCAGAAGGGAGTAAAAGATTAGAATAGAGCTGGGGAGACTCATTATTTAGCCTTCTGAGATGCACATACTAAAATTTCAGGATAAAAATGTTAGGTTCAAACTTCAACTTTTACCTAGCACATAAAGAAAAAATATTGATACAGGGTTCTATCCTGATATAACTATAAAAATGTGGATCTGACTTATGTCCTGATGCCCTTGAAAAAACAATGCCTGTCATGATTACCATTGATGAAGAGAATCAACAAAAGCCTAAATCACAGGCAGAAAAAAAAAAAAAAAGGAACAATGAAATGCATACTAAGTTATTAAGGAATATTTACTAACTGCATTATATCCAAATGGCCTCAAAACATCAATCGACTCACTAAAGCTGTATATTTAACCCATGTAGTAAATCCGAAAATTTATCAGAAACAGTTTAAAGCAAAAACCTAACAAATGCCTCTAGGAAAACTGCATAGGCCACAGGCCCCAAGGGAATGTAAAGAATAACCAAATTCCCAGCAACGCCAACCATCTAAAAAGGTAAAATACACAGATACATAAAACTTCAAACTTCAAACTTGCAACTTGCAAAGAATGTAAACCAGCAATGCTTTATCTTCTAACATTTTTATACACCAGCCATATTATATAAATTCAACCAAATTAACAGAAACCCAATTGGACCCAAGGCTTGAAATTTCATTAAACATGAAGCAAAGCCAATAACTTCCCTTATAATCATCATTGACATACAAGTTCAAGTCACAGGAAAAGCAATGTATAAAAACTGAAAAATAACAAAATCAAATGCCTTAACATTGAGAAGTGTAGAGAAAAAGGAGGGTATATAATACCTGAAATCCTTTTAGAGAACTCATCCCACCAATCCAAAGGCTGAGGTTGAGACCCCAAAGAAGAGGCAACAGTAGCAGAAGAAGGCAAGACATTCTGGTCAACCACTTTCTTGTCTGCTGCTTTCTTTCTTCTCTTGAACCCTCTAACGGGTCCCATTGAAACAAACCCAACAAAGAAACACAAACCCTGAGATGAGTTAAGAACTTGGAAGAAACTATCACAACAAAGATCAAAAGAATCTTAGGAAAGAGATTGAGTTTGGCTTTTTGGTTTGGGATTTTAAAGCATGCAATGATAAGTGGTTGAACGAAGAGAGCAGTAATAAGAGAGATGGTGAAGATTGAGGAACAAAAGAAGAGGCCTTGAGACGGTAAACGAAAGCCAAAGAAAATAGTCCTGAGTACTGTGTAGGCATTATTCAAGTGACACAAGGTCATATTTTTGTTGTTAAATGAAAGACCCTGTAGACGAGGAAAGATCAAACAAGTGTATGGCCTGTTCCTAGGGTGAAAAAAAAAACAATTATTCTAAATTATAACGTTTGATTATGTTTCGATTTATTTTTTTATTCAGTTCAAGAAGTTCAAATATTAAATATATATATTAAGTTTAAATTAAATTTTAAATTAAAATGTAAAAAAATAAAAAAAAATTAAATTGAACTAAATTACATATTTTTATTAATTTTTTTATATATTTTTAATTTTTATAAAATAAAAATAATTGTTTTTTATATAAATTTATTTAAATATATTAAAAATTTATTAAAATAATATATAAAAATAAAAAATTAAATTTAAAAATTGATGAATTAACTAATTAATTCGTTCAAATTAAATTGATTTAAAAAAAAAATCAATTTAAATTTATATCGTATTTTAAAAATTTATAATATTATATATCATTCGAAAAAATTAAATTGAATTCGATATGAATTGTTATTACTTCTGAACCATTATAAAATTTTTTATTTACTTTTAATTATTATTATTATTACATCGAATATTTTAAGTTTTGCTTGAGTTTAATTTATTTTAGAGATACGAAGGACACATTTTTTTTTTATGAAATTGATGCATTTAAAATTTTAATCTCGAAATATTTTTTAAAAGAATTAAAACATGATTAAAAAATTATTTTATCATAAGCATAGACTAATCTCTAGTGGCTATTTTATATTTTTTTACTAATATATAGTTTCTTTTCTTTCTATATCCCATTAAATGATAGTTACATAATGAATAAGAGTTCATTTTCTATGGTCGCTATCAATAAATAAAAGATTACATCTTAAATATTTGATACAATTTTATTGATTAAGTTGAACAATGCTACTTCAATTAAATGTTTGTAATGTTATCACTTATGAATGTTTAATTTAAATAAAATAAAATAGTTTCAATTTATTTTTTACTTACGAAATTTCAGCTTTCTATTATCTCAGTAAATCCCATCTTCAAGAAATCTTCAACTCTTATGCAACAAATGGTCCTCAGTATGACAGATTTGAATACTAAAATGTTTTGTTAAAAAATTGCTGAGAAAGTGGCTTTGTCTCGGTTCCACTCAGCAGACAGCTGACACCAATGATCACCAATGTGAAACACGAACTTGACCAGGAATAGCTGAAAAGTTGGACTCAGGCTTGGCTCTAGTCCATTGAGTGCAACAGGCCATCCGTGGCTCGGGCCTACCACAACCCGAATCCAGTATTTCTTGAAGCCTAAATACAATGTTTTCTGTCACATTGAAACACAATTTTTTTTTTTTTTCATTATTTGAGATTGACAGAGATTAACTTTATCACTTGAATGGTTTTTCTAATGAAATATAAATTGCTAGCATATAGTCTATCCTAGTTATTGTCTTGAATCTTTTATTTATTTTTTTTTCAACTTTTAGTAACTTAACATTGAAGTAGATGGAAGATGATGATCGGTAACATATTTTCATCTTCATGAACTTCTGAAAGACTTTTGCCATGGTATCTTGGAATATGACTAATTCTCCTCATTCATAAAACATGGTCAATCCTTGATTTCCATTGACTCATAATCCTTAGCCCTTCTTGATCCACAAGCCATCAACTGCATTAGAACTGCAGATGCTTTGATCCTTCCACTTGGGCGATCGTTTTCGACATTTTGATCTCTAATATCTGCTGAGATGTTCAGACTTCCTAGAACTTCTGAACTTGAATTTGAAGAAGGTCGAGAAGGCTGCTGTCCATTCAGTTCTATAATGCCTCGATTGCCTTCCCTTTCATGTTCTTCAGCTCCTTCATCCTTAACTCTTCTTTGCCTTGCATTATCATCTATCTGTGTTGACGCACTGTTGATTTTGCTTCTAAATTCTCTGCTGGTTCTGGCCTCGTAGATTTTGGGTTCATTAAGCTCCTTGAATTCACTCCATGAATGGTTTTTCCTTCTATTTTTGGCTCGAACATTGGAGTCTTCACCTGAACTGTTTGTTTCTGAGAAAATTTTGGAGACTGATGAAGTTGAAGAAACTGTTTCATAGGATCGAAAGCTTAAAGAAGTTTCTAGGAGTAGTGATCCCTTGAGAATGTATTCACGGCCATGGGAAGGGTATATGAAGTCGTTTTCGGATAAATCTTGCCACACATATCCATTCTTGAAGCACCTGAAATGAAGTTGTCACATCATCCAAGGTGAATCAACTGTCATTTCCTTCAACAAACACAATGAAAATAACAGTTAGAATCTGTCTGTCTATCAGATACCTCTTTGAAGACCAGGAATACCTGTTCGCCATGCCTGCACCTCGGAGGCTGTTCAGTCTATTTATAACATCTGTAAGATAGAGCAAATTACAACAGAAATCATTACAAATCAGATAAAGTTTACTCAATTTCAGGAGAAATTCAGTTGTTACCTTTGAGAAAGAGTCCTTGGGGAGAAGAAAGAGGCACTTCTAGGAAATGAGGATGCTCAAGCTGACCATTGCGTGAGAGGGAGTAAACGACAGGAACTTTCTGTTCCTTGTTTGATTTTCTTTCAACCCAAACCATGGTTCTTTCAGGACTGGTTTCTCTATCTTGATATCTCTTTGGCATTGGCAACTCTATCTTTCCTCTTGAGTTGGTTGCCATTAACTGGATGAGATAAAGCTAACTTTATCAAGCTCAAATAGAGCAAATGAGCAAGAGAAGAGCATAAAGAGCATTCAAAAGTTTTGACTTGTAGAGCCTACATATTTTGAAATTTGTGGGCAGGTAAAGGTAGTAACGGCGCCAACAGCTCAGTGACTTGTTGGTAAAATGCTGCAACTTTTAATTTTAGTAATGAGGCTAAATCCTGATAGGTTCAAATACATATATATATATATATATATATATAATATAAAGAGAGAGGAAAAGTGAGACTCTACATATGTGTAAGTGCCTGGAAATTGGTAAAGACAACTACTAGGAAACATAAAAGAAATTGTACATTATACCAGCTTCAAGAATGCTTTGATCATTTGCAGCAAAAATCAAGAGTTAACATGATATCAAGGATGCTGGAATTTTGGTTATATAGAACCTCCTCACTTATTAGAGTACAGGGAGCACACTTGCCAATGAACATTTCAAATGAGAAAGAGCAAGTCAAATTTAGCTCTTAAATCACCACCCTTGTTTACTTGCCTCCCTTTTATATTGAATGAAAACCATTTTTCCCCTTAACAGATCCAGTTGCATTGATTAAAATAAGGACGTGATCTTTGAAAATCATTATTGATTAAGATATGTATGGCATATCACAAATTGGATAATTTATTTTAGACCTATATCATTAGACAATTGCTTCCGTTGCAGGACAAATCCTAGCATGTTGGCACATATTCGTCAATTACCAGAAGCTCACGGACCAAAGTGAAATCAGGACAAAATTTCCATTTTCAAAATGAAAGTCAAAGCCAGTCCCGTGAAACCATGATGCTGAAAACATGGAGACAAGCTGACAACATTTCGAACTTCCAAAATGCTACGGTTGAAGCTCGCGGATAGCTCCAAACATAAAGAGCTACCCAGTTGCCTACTGATAATCAGAGATTCAGTCACAGGCAATTGCCCTTACCTCCATGCTGTTTTGCCTGTTTAAATCTATTTCTGCTTCAATCTATTCATTGCCCAGATTATAATATTCTGTATATCTGTTATCAGTAATTCACTATAATCCTATTCCATTGCAAAGGAAGTTGCAAAGAAGCTCGGCTTAGATCATAATCGATTACACCTGCAAATATCAAGAATGTTCTGTGGTCTTTGTCCCTGTTAATTTTCTTCCATGAATCTCGATAAAAAGGATTCAAAGTATAATTATAACAACGGCTTCCCTAGGCTCAGAAATTCCTCAGGGCAGTCTATAAAATCAGAATTCATACCAAAGTAGAAAAAGATATGAATAATTCAGTTGTCATCTGAATCTTTACATCTGTCTACCTATTGAATAACACTTTAGATTATGCCAGTACAACAGGAGTCACATGTAAATGGCTGCAATTGAGGTGATAGGGAAAAAACCTTCCATTAATGGTCAATTTGTGTTTGTATTTGTTGTTTCTGCAGTTTTCTTATTTGGGCAAGCAGAAGAAATATGGCCCTTTTGTCCGCACTCATAGCATGTCCTCCTCCTCAACTTACCACGGCTGACACTTGAACCACCGTTCTCAGCTTCATTACCCGCAGGTGCTTCATTACTTTCTGTTGCTTCTTTACTTGGAGATGCTTCATTTTTTGTAGGAATTTCTTTACCTGGAGGTGCTTCATTTCTTGTAGGAACATTATTAGTTGGGCAAGCAGAAGAAATATGGCCCTTTTGTCCGCACTCATAGCATGTCCTTCTCCTCAATTTACCACTGCTGACACATGCACCACTGTTCTCAGCTTCATTATTCATAGGTGCTTCATTAGCCGGAGGTGCTTCATTTCTTATAGGAATTTCTTTACTTGAAGGTGCTTCATTTGTTGTAGGAACTTCATTACTTGTAGCACGAGATCTTGACTCAGTTTTTACTCCTTTCTTAGGAACTGCACAACTTATCTTGACAGGTCTACCACACACAATTTCTTGGTCCAACTTTAATGCCATGGCTACTGAGACACTATCAGAGAAATCCACATGGGCATAGCCTCGGAATTCCCCTGTTTCCTTGTCCATGCCAAAGCGTATAGATGATACACTGCAATCAGAGAAAAGCTTCTTCAGATCATCCTCAGTTATATCCCATGATAAATTTCCAACATATATTCTGTTGTAACCATCCACCATCTTTGGGGCAAAACCAGTTGCTTTATTAGTTCGAGTGGATTTGTAGGGCTGAATTGTCAGCTGCATTCCACCCCTGAGGAACACATCACAAATTTTATATGCATTCATTAATAATGGGAAATAATGTGAGATATGGTCAACCGAAGATCATAACATTTACTTACATTTCAGCTCTGTCAAGAGCCAAGGCTTCTTTTGCTGCGGCTTCAGTCTGTAGTAAACTCAATCAGTACTCAGGCAACTACAACAAGATTTTTACTAGTTTCAAAATTTTGATGGATTTTTTATATATATGAAAATTCCATTTTCTCAAAAAAGGAAAAAGCCGACTTTTCATGTCAAGAAGTAATGTTAAAATGCTTCAGTTTCAGCTCCTTTGGAATTTCATAAGTGGTAGCATGTTATGAACAGTAACCTTAAGTTAATAAATGACATAAATATGAAGAAATTGATATAACCCGAATTTAATTTACAATTAATAATTGTATACGAACAAGAAAGATAGTTACCTCGAAACAAATAATTGCAATTCCTCTAAACTTCCCAGTGTCAGGAAACTTCATACAATCAACATCAACTATGGCACCACAACCTTCAAAATAATATCGAATATCATCCTCAGTATAGCAATATGGAATGCCTCCAACATAGACTTTTGTGGCAACATCCTCTCTAGCTTGGCTGCATAAAAATGGAACAACATGAGAAACAATAATAACCCCATTTATAAGCACAAGCAGAAAGAAGGAAACATCAACATTCCACTAACAATCAAATCACAGAAAAGCAAACAGAAATAAAAGATTTTTTCCCCAAGGTCCTACCTTCAATTCTTGAACCTAATTCCCAACATAAAGACAACTAAGTTAACATATAAACCTATTCTTTCTTACAGAACATGGTGGATGCAGTAAATGGAGTCCCAAAAACAATATTCAGAATTAAAATTTTTTTCTTTCTTTTTTTGCTCAGCTTTTTAATTGACCAAAAATATGACAAAAACTTTAAAAGCTACAAATCAGAACACATGATAATAAAAATACACCAATGGTAACATGCTGACACAATCAATTCAGCATTGACACTTAAAACATGCAGTAACCAAATGGGCATTTTGAAAATTACCTTCCAGTCCCATTGTCAACCTGAAAAACTCCTTTCTCTTCACTTACGTTTTTCTGCTTCTTCCTTTTCTTCTTCTTCTTCTTCTTTTCCTTCGTCTCCGACGTCCTTTCCTCCTCCTTCACCTTTTCCTCTTCTCTCTTCCTCTTCTTTGTCTTCTTCTTTTCAACCTCCTCACTCTTTTCTTCTTCTACTTCAACCTCCTCTCCCTTTTCTTGACCTTCCTGGTTTGACCCTTTTGAAAAAGAAACGATTTTTCTTCTTTTTTCTCGCTTTGACAATCTGGGTTTCTGAGTTACTGAGTCTAGGAGCGATTTCAGGGACTGGGTCTCCGAATTCGAATCTGGGTTTTTCTTATACAGGTCGGATTCGGCTACCGTTTTTGCCAATAGTTCTGCTCTAAGCTTCTGCTTCAGCTTCTTGTTTGACAACACCATATTTTCTTTTCCTTCACTCAAATGTCTAAAACCCTAGAAAGGGTTTTTTACTTTGTTTTTTGAAGTTAATGGGGAGAGCTCTAAACGACGTCGTTCTATTTGTTGTTAGTTTATTCTAGTTTTTCTTTTTTATTTTTTTTTAAAAGAACACTAATTGGATTATAACAGTGGGAAGGAAAGCCTAAATATAACATAATATAATATAATAAAAAAGTTAATATATTTTTCATATACATTTGAAATTATCTAATTAAATTCTGATCATTAAAATTAAAATTTTAATACTTTATCAATAAATCGCAGTATATGTATGGATAACTTAAATTTAGAATTGTAGTTGTAAGAATAATTACATTGTATATAATATTAAATAGGATTCATAAAAAAAAAAAAATTCAAATAGGAAAATTAAGAGAATACTTATTTTTCTTACTTAAAAAGAAAATAAGAGTGAATGGTTAGACTGTTTTCCACCGCAAAAACTTGATGAACCATAGCATTGGTCTTAAGAAAATGACAAGGACACCAGATGGTTTTCTCCTCGTGTATGAAAAAAATTTGAAAGACAAAAAGAAAAAAATAAAGGAAAAATTGAACAAGTTTGAAGTAGGAAAGGAGATGATTTGATAATGTAGCAACTAAAAGTCAAAACTGAACAAAGCTTTCATTCATCTGCTTCAAAAAATAGCATTACAGGTCTTATATACAGTCACAGATGAGCTTGATCTCTAGAACCAGCACGTTCTAGCTACCCCTGGCTGTAATTTGCCCGGCCACAGGCAGCTCTGAAGGCACAAAAAAACACGACCAGAACCTCATCTAGGCACAAAAAGCAACTGAAGGTTGATAAAACCTAACCATATTAATCAGTTTTAGCATAGACCCTTCCCATCCTTTTCGGTGCAAATCCCCTCACATGCTGTCGTATGGAGAAACTAAAATCTTCAATCCACCCCTAAGGAACACATGAAAAGGTTTGTTAACAAATTTGCATATGGGAAAGAAAGAGAAACCAACTGTTCATGCTACTCACATATAAGCTAGGTGAAACCACAGTGCTTGTTTGGCTGCAGCAGCTGTCTATAGAAAAAATAGCAAAGCCAATTTAAAAAGAGAAGTCCATTTGCTTGGTGTCATGTTTCAATAATAATGTGCTAGACAACTACATTATCATTTTAAGTAGTTTCAATCTTCTGAAATTTCCAAAAGAAAACTATCATTCGCACAAGAACGAGTAGTTTCTTATCCCAGAAGATAACATAAAATGCTTTAACATCAGCACGTCGTTTTGACCACATTCAAGGTAATTTGAGAAGCATCGAAAAATAACAAGTAATCCATGTTCTAGTAAATTTCAATATTTAATGAAACTGATCTATTTGCAAGTTGGTTTAGCAAATTTCAATATTAAGTATCTCTAAACTATGGTCCAGTAAGTGTCAATGCTCGTAACTCGTGACTAAACTCTCCTTAAACTATGGCATTTCTTTTCCTTAGAAATTAGTTTTTGCAGTTGCATGCCATCAAAACTATTATGAGAGTTGATAAATAGCAATTTCTGAAGTGCTGTGGTAAAAGTTCAATAAGGCCAATTTTTGCATTCTGATTAGTTGTCACAAGGAGTTCAAACCTTGGTAAGTAGAAATTACGGTGTATTTGCTTTTAACTAAAATTTGAAGGGAATAAAAAACACAGGGATCTACAGCCAACATATTTTGCTTTCATGAAATACTAAAGTGAACATCTTAATCTAATGGGCTGTGAAGAGTTTTGTCAAACCACAGTTAAAATTGAAGAATATCCAAATAGAGATAAACATTAGCTTATGCTTGCCAATCATCATAGGTACTTACCTCAAAAGTAACAATTGCATTTCAGCAATGAACTTCAGCAATGGTGCCACAGGATTCAAAATAACTTCGAATTTTATCCTCAGTATAGCGATATGGAATGCCTTCTATGTATATCTTTCTAGCAATATCTTTGCTGGCTTGGCCGCATAAATATGGTAAAATACATAAAATGATAGTTAACTTTATGCATAAGCACAAGGGTTGAAGATCACAATCTTAAAATTTTGAAAGAACATCTTAACATCATTTCACGAACCTAATACCACAAAATAGCATCAACCAAATTACATAGTTGACTGGTATCATGATGCACTCATCCAGGTGTTTTCCCCCTCAGGGATAAAACAAATACAGACACAATATAATCCAGAATCCACCAATCATTGCTTCCATAACTCTATAACAGTACTAGACCTCAAAAGGGATAGTCACATTGTTAGCAATCCAATCTTCTACCAGGTCAGAATTGTGATTGACATGATAGAAGCTAAAAAGTGAGGGTCATCTCTTTTAACTAATCTAATACAATAAATTAAGGCCTCTATTTCCCATGTTAGTGACGGTTTTTGTCATTCACCAAAGATGTAAGTTCAAGGCAATTAAATTCGACACGAAGTGAGGTGTGGCAAAGACAATTTGCTAGAAAGATTCTTTCCTGAAAACACTGCAAACTCTAGCTTCCCTATGAACCACCACTATGAACATAACTCCCATTGGATTCAAAAGCAGCATTTGTGATGGAAACCAAAGAACTAAATTACTAAGATTTAGTCTAACAAATCTCATCCAGCTTTCACTCTGCAAATCATATGATTGGGGGATGCAGCAAAATGCAATGCTCAAAACTCAATTCCCTACTTTTTAGTTTTATACAGTTCACTCACCAACAATGAAATGAAATGATAACAAAAGCATACTAAAGGGGACCAGGAAAAAAAAACACGCAAAATATAAACTTTAGCCTACTCACAATTAACACACATTGTTCCACATTACAATAAAATCAAATTATAATATAAACAAACTATGGTGCAACCAGAAAAGCTCCAAAACAATCAAATTAAATCCAATAACAATAGAAACAAACTATGGGGTGACAAAAAAAGCTCTAAAGCAATCAAATTTCAGCCCCAAAAAAACAGTAATTTCATATTAATTTACCCAAAATTTAACTCCAACCACAAATATGGGAAAATCATTTTCTAAAATACAAATCCCATTATCAAAACAAACCATAAAAAGGGTATTCCCCAAATTACCTATCTTTCCTTTTCTCCATCTCCAAAACCTTTTCTTCTTCACTTCCCTTCTTCTTCTTTATATCATCTCTCTTTCTCTTCCTGTTTTCACCTTCATTTCACCACCCTTTACCCCAAAATTTTCATTTCCTCTTTCAATTTCCTTACTTGTTACTTCCTCATAATCTCCACACCAACAAGCTTTCCTTTTAAGAACCCCAAGATTAGCGAGTGACTGATCAACCTCTTCACTAACAAAACCTGGTGAAGAACCTTCGTTTCTGGCCCAAAAGAAATTCTGGGTTTTAAGAAACTCTGGTTTAGAATTTTTATCCTGGTTTCCATCTCCCCAGTTGGGTTTTAGTGATTTTCTCAGTTTCTCCAATCTTTTATCTAGACACTAATGTTTCATCTCTGTTTCTCTTTTCTTCTGCAGTCTTTTGCACCAAAAGCAATGGTTTCTCACCATAGAAATAGACCCAACAATAAAAAAAATAATAAAAAAAGAAAGAAATTAAAGAATAAGGGAAAAAAAGCCTAGATTGAGAATTTTGGTTTGGGTCTTTGGGAGGGAAATTGGGAAGCTTTCTGCTTCGATTCTCTGAAACAGCATACTTGTACCAGTCCAAAAACACTAATGCGACGTCGTTTCAGTTGAATCTTTTTTTTTTTTTAATTCCTCTATTTTTGGGCTCTTAATAGCATATTTGGGCTTGAAGGAAAACGTTTAATGTCCAAAGGAGTTTTCAAACTGGGTTTGGGCTTTAGATTTCAAGGCCTAGATTTTGCTCCAATAATTATTTTTACTATAGTAATAGAAAATATAATTATTATTTATTATTTGTTTAGTAAATCTTACAATTTAAAACATAAAAGATGACACAACACCAATATAATATGAAAAAAGATACTAAATTGACATAATTTAAAATTTTAACAATAACTTATATAAGTTTAACAAAATTTAAAAATATATTTTATGTTTTCGTATTTATATGAATTGTGACGTATGATTTTTTATGTAAAATATAAAATGAATATATAAATTTAAGTATTTTATATAACATAAATATATGAATCATAATATATATATTTTAATACTATTTTGGTATATAAATATGGAATCTTTTAGCTTATCGGTGAGATTAAGTTTAGAATTCCAAGCATGGCTTAGCTAGAAAAATTATGAATCAAACTTGATGGGATTTACGGATATCTCTAATAAATAAATTGTAAGATGTTTTAACTTTATTCTTATAATTTCACTTTTTTTTTCTTAGTTGTTAACAAAAAAAATTAATTAGTAGAGAACACAATTGTCCTGACTCCAAATTATCTTGACTTTGCATTTTTTTTTAAGTATTATATATAATTATATAATATATATATATATATATATATATTACCTTTCTAACCAGCTCAATAATTTTTATTAATAATTTTTAAAGTTTAGGATTTAAGTTTTTATATGTCAACATTTCTGTCCAAAACATTCCTGCCAATTAGGACATATTGGTGAAACCAATGAAAGAGGCTTGTCCTCAACTGTAATTTAAGGTAAGTCAATGCCCCAAAATGATAATAGTTTCATAAATTTCTTTCATCAAACCTAAACATTGAGATAAAACCAGAATCAAACATCCCATTTTGATCAACATTTAGCCATGTCTCAGTCTGACCAAAGTGGTTCATTTACAAGATTCACCAACCAACTCAATCTAATCCAACCTTTTCAAAAAGTTAAAGCAAAGATCAAACACAAGATTGATCAAGATGATAACAAGTAAGAATTACTATTATTCTTTTTTTTTTTTTGTTGATAAAGATGAAATTATGTTCAAAGATTGAGATTAGTCTTCTGCCTTTTGGACAGGAAGTTGGAACATGGTAAGGTTGATATGATCAGCTCTTTACCTAATGACATCCTTTGCAGAATCATTTCCTTTCTTCCTTTTGAGTCTGCTGTTCAAACTAGTTTGCTTTCAACTCGATGGAAAAACTTATGGAAGATGGCTTTGGTTAAAGATGGAAATAAAGATGAAGCTGTCTTTGTTGTTCTGAATTTTGTCAATGATTTTCCTCAGCTTCATCTACCTGCAAACAACTGGGGCCTGCAATATAACTTTGGTCAAGGCAGTGTCCTATCAGTTGCCATTGTACCTAAGGGTACACTTCATCTGGATTTCTCTGCAGGGAAACAAGAAATTACAAGGCAATTCAGCTTGTCCTTGGATAGAAAACGCCACATCAACTATCATCAGCCGTCTCTTTCCACTGCATTCAAGTTGAAATCTCTTTATCTTGTATCAGTCAGCCATGTTTCTACCGAGATGGTTTCTTGTCTGTTTTCAAACATGCCATTTCTTGAAAGTTTGACAATAGCAAGATGCAATGGATTACAGTATATACAACTTGATGGAAATTCACAACTTCAACAATTAGCTGTCTTAGATTGCTTGCAATTGTTGTCTATCCAGTTAGATTTCAACTTCTACTTCAGTTTAAAGTCCTTCCACTATCGAGGAAGAGCTGTGTCTCTTAAATATTACAACAAAGATCCACTGTACTACTTCTATTCTCCTGCAAATGACGATTCGCCTTTCGACCTGGAAGATGCCATGCTTGATTTCAGACAAGGACCAGGCTACTATGGCATAAATAGACCTGGCTTTAACTTAATCCTTCAAAGCATAAGAGAAATTAAAACTCTTACATTATGTAGATGGGTTTTCAAGGTATGTTCTAGCAGTATAGGTTAGAATCCATTCAAACCTTGATCAAAGCTTTTGCACAAAGGTTTAACTATGGTTCTTTCTTTTTTCTTAGGAACTTATATGCCCAGAGCTATACCTTTTAGGTGAAGGCTTCTACCGGCTAACAGAATTGTGGTGGATTGATAATTCACTGGAGAAATATGATTCTACTGCCTTAATCTCCTTTCTTAAACTCTGTCCTCAGTTAACCAGGCTCTATATCACTGTAAGTTTTTTTCACTTTTCATACATACATACATACATATATATAGCAAGCCTAACAGCTAATTATAGCAACTTTTTTCAAGTTTTAGCAATTAGGTATAAGGAAGATCCAAACTCAATCTGAAATGCCAAAACTTGAATTGTACAAAATTTTGATGTGCTGAAAGAACTCATAGCAGAAGCATTGCCACTAATTTTTTTAATTTTTTAATCTTGTAGTATTAGTTTTTGATACTCCTAAAAAATCTTTATAACTAGGTGATTACTTATGCAGATTGATCCTAACAGCTATTACACAACAAACATAAATATGTCTTTGATCAAGGTGACGAGTCCTATAAAATTGAAGCATCTCAAGGCTGTCAAGTTAGAAGGATTTGAAAATGAGGAAGAGGAGATTATACTGGCAAAGCAGTTGAAAGAGGTATTCCAAGCAGAACCACTATTTATAAAGTGGGATGGGACTGTGAGGCAACTAGTAAAAGTAGATGAGCAGCTAAAGGAAGGGACAGATGCATATGAATTTATTGAGAAAAAGGTTGAAAATCTTCATGAATTATGTCCTAAACATGTTCATATGGACATCTAAATACAACAAGTTTTCACTTGTTATTATACTTGTAAATTACTCATCAAAAAGAAGAAACCATAATATCAATTTTGTATGTTTGAGCATGCCTTGGCTTAAAACAGAGCTGTTACTTTAAGGAATGATGCTAACTATCAATGTCTGTTACCATGTATGATTGGTCCATTTCATTAGCAGAGGATGTTCCAAGATTGATCACGTTGGTGCTTCATCCAATTGACAAGCTTTCATCTCATTGAAAAATCCAGTTTCATTTCAGAGAAGGCAGTAATGTGGCTACCACTGAAGATCAGGAGGAACTACATCTGAATTTCTGTAATGGAGGACAATGGAATTTTCATTGCAGCTAATCTGTAAACCCCAATTAATGAACTGGCTTCACGAATAACTGTCCTTTGTTTAAAATCAGTAAACAAGTTGACTAGGGAAATAGTTTCATTTGTTATAAAAAACTCCAGAAATTGGTGTTTTAGGAGAAACTTCCCTGGTTTTGCTCTTTTATTGAGAATACCATTCTTGATTTCAGAAATGGTACACTGGCTGCATTCCTTTTGCATGTGAATATCTTTTGTTTCTTCTATTGGCTATAAAAAATGTCAAGACTCAATGGAAAATCATTTTTGAAGTGGCTATCTTCGTTCTTTGGGAGCGAAAAGACTTTCTATTCAACAATTTAACGGTGTTCTGTTGCGTTTACAGCTCAACAGAAAATCACAGCACAGCAACCTTGAGTTTGTCTGTCCTAAAGATCTACCCCTCTTCACCTTCAATCTTCTTCTTCTCTTCGGGTCTTCACCTTCATTGTCAATTTTTCACTACCCTTTACCCCAAACTTTCCATTTCCACCTTCAATTTCCTTGTTACACTCTCATCACCTGCAAACCAACAAGCTTTCCTTTTCAAAAACACCAAAGTTTAGCAGCTGGTTAACCTCTGCACTGTCAAAATTGGGTAACGCTTCCTTTCTAGGCCAAATGGGTATCAGGGTTCTTTTGCCTTGGATCTTAGTTGCTTTTCTTTAGTTTTCCTGTTGCCTATTCTAACCTTTTCTTCTTATTCTTGAATGGGGGTCCTTGGATGTTAATTTGGAAATTGATTATTCAAAAATTGAATTAATTGGATTACGATTATTTTATTTTTATAATTAAGTTAAATTTTTTTATTTTAAAATTTAAATAATTAAAATTAATTTAATCAATTTGATTAATTTTTTAATTTAATCAATTTGATTAATTCTTTTATAAATCAAATAATAAAATATAAATTAAATTTTATTTTAAATATTAAAAATCATCCAATAAAAATATTAAAATATTAAAACATTAAATTAAAACTTCAATAACTTGTATTAAAATGGACTATTTTTTATATTTTTAGTTATATATATAGGTTTTATAATATTTTTAATTAAAATTTTAGTTAAATGGTTAATTTGATTTTCAAATCAAATTAATCAAAAATTAAAATTTTTCTTAAATCATTTTTTATAACAAAATAAAATTAATTCAATGATTGATATTAATTAAATTAAATCGATTTAATTAATTAATTCAATTAAAATTAAATTATAGACACAATCTTTTCTTCTTTCTTTTGCACCAAAAACCATAGTTTCAGTAACAGACAAAAAATAACTCTTATGTAGTAGTTTTATTATATTTTATTTCTACTTTTAACCAGCTTAAAAATTCTCATGGAATTGTCAATTAGGAGCCTGAATCTGTTCAACTTAGCTTATGAATTTGGCAATTAATCAAACAAGCAGCTCTAAAAACTTTTCATTACTTCAAAATGATGAATTTAATGTCACTTGGCTTAACTTAATTGATTGGAGAAATAAAAATTAAAAAAGGGCACTTAATTTGAACAATGTCCTTGGTAAAGTTTATTTTTCATTTTTAGAATGATGAATATAAGTTAAAAAGTTGAAACCTCTTTGAATTAATGAAATTGTAACTTTGATTCCTCCTGGGTTTAGGCTATAAATCCCATTTCTTAGATCCTTGTAACTTGCAAGGGTCATCATCTTCAATGTGTTAAACCAAAAGCACTTGTAGTTCAGTTCAAACTTTATAATTTTACACATCAATTCCTTGATGGCATCTTTCAATAAGTTAGGCAGTCATTTTTTTCTTTCTTTTTTGTGTTTTTCTGTTTGGATTTGGTATATAAGCCAGTTCCTGATTCACAGTTTCAAACATCTGATTGTCACAATCAACCCTTTGATGGCATTTTCTTGTTCTTTAAGCCAACTTTTACTAGTCAATAGGAGTGAAAGTTCTTTACGCTTTCTAATTCATCGCTAATTGGTCAGTCCAATATAATATGAAAGTCTATGGAAATAAAATAAGCATATTTTAGCCACCACCAACATTTCCTTTTGAGTCGAATCGACCACCGCCAACATTTCCTTTTGAGTTGAATCAATCATGGGTAAGAAACTCAGAAAGAAGAAAAAGAACAACAGAAACAGGAAGCAGAACCAACAAAAGAAAACCAATACAATTTTAAAGCAAATAGAGTAAGGAGATATTGATTCTATTTTTTTTCCCTGGTTTTACTATTTGGTATTAAGATCACGATGTTATGACCCTGCTTAAATTTTCTCTTTTTGGACAGAAATCTTGCTTTAGAGGAAAAGAATGATGACTTCATTAGCAGATTACAAGATGATATCCTTTGCCACATCCTTTCTTTAGTCCCTTGCAGATGTGCAGTACAAACTAGTCTGTTGTCAAGTCGTTGGAGATATGTGTGGAGGAAATCAATAGAATTTCAAGGAACAATAGATGATATTTCTGAGGTGATCACTTTGCTTCTTGATCGATTCGACAAGCTTTCATCTGATCGAAAAATCCGGTTTCATTTCGGTGAAGGCAGTATTCTAGCTACCTTTAAAGATGAAGAACTTCATCTGAATTTCTGTTATGAAGGACAAGAAACTTTTAGTCATTTTGACTGGAGTCTAGAGCTCAATCCGAAAATCCCAGTTTGTGAACGGGCTTCATGTATGAAAGTCCTTCATTTAAAGTCTGTGAATAAGATGACAAGAGAAATAGTTTCATCTGTCATTTCAAAGTTCCAGTTTCTTGAAAACTTACAGATTTCTGAATGCAAGGGATTACAATCACTTTACATCGAAGCTGGCTCAAGATTTCAAAGCTTGATAATTTTGGACTGTTTACAACTGAATGAAATCTATGTTTTTGCACATAACCTCAAGAAATTGGTGTTTCAGGGGCAACTTCCTTGGATTTGGCTCTATTATTCTCCTCACTTGGAGAATGCCATTCTTGATTTCAGAAACGGTCCAGGCTACAATCCCTTTGCATGTGAAAATCTTCTTTCTCTTCTATTGGCTGTCAAAAATGTGAAAACTCTTACAATATCTGGCTGGCTTTTCAGGGTATGTATTACTTGCTTCAATTTCTTAAAACAAATCCAAGATTGTAATGACTTTTTGTAGGTGTTGATCCTTCTGTTTCTTCTTCCAGGTACCGATTTCAAAGTGGCTATCTTCAGCTGGAGCCATTTGGGAGAGAAAAGACTTTCTCTTCAACAATTTAATGAAGTTATGTTGGATTGATAGTTCAATGGAAAATCACAGCATAGCTACCTTGATTTCTGTTCTAAAGATCTGTCCTTCTCTGGAGAAGCTATTCATAAATGTAAGATTCATACTACAGTTCTCAAAATTATATGATTTATACCTTACTAATTAGAAAAGACCTTAACTATCTCCTGTGATTTTCAGGTGGATCCAAGCAATTACTGCAGTCCAAGCAAGGGAGAATATAGTTTCTGGATCGAGTACTCAAATCGAGTAGCTAGTACTACAACTTTGGATCATCTCACTGTAGTTAAATTGAAGGGTTCCTTAGGTCAGGAAGACAAAATTTTATTGACAAAGCTTCTAGTTAAGGTAGCTTCAGTGGAGCTGATACAGTTTAAGTGAAATGTATGAGATTGAACCAGATAAATATTGATCAAACCATGGTGAATATGGTTGAGCTTCCACCAACAAAAGTTTGCAGGCTGATGACTTATCAGTGGGGCATCCTTTGATGAATATGGCTTCCTTTCGAGGATAGTTGCAGCTTTTGGAGATGGATATGTTTGAATCTTTGTTGACTCCATATCCAGTCTTGATGCAATTGAATTTTTGTTTCATTTTTGAGCTTATCAAGGAGATAAAAGTTGTTGCTATATCTAACCTGTTGTATTGAGATTGATATGTGGAAACAATTTCTCGACATTACAAGGGGAATTATAGCATTTTTCTTAATCTTTCAATCTGATAAATGCTTGTTTAGTTGTTCCTGAGCTACTTCTTCCTCGGTAACTTGGATTCAGAGATGCACCTTTCCAAGATTGGTTCTTCTTTCAATTTCAACCTTTGAAGCATTCAAGAAGGAAACAGAAGAAAACAAGTTAGAACCAAAGATTATTTTATTTGCTTCAATAATTGCAAGAATGCTACATTGACTTTGTCAGCTTTCTGTTCAGGATTTAGATCTGTAACCTATAAATTCACACATTTGTACAAGTAAACTATAGATACGACTAAATACATTGTGTATATAAAAATGGCATCAAAATTGTCGTCGCCTCTCTAATAGAAGTTGAGTAAGAAATAATCAATTTGATTGGCATAAACATTTATGTTGATAATAACAAGAGGAATTTCATAACTCTTCGGTTAAAATATGCAGACTAAGCACAGATATGTGCTCAAACAATGATCCGCTAACTGGTTTTTAATCAGTTGCCTGGACTCTTTACTGTCAAAATTAGAAGGATTTGTATACATTGAAGAAAGGCAAAGCTGCAAAGCTGGTTATATATATGCTAAAGTCCCACAGGACATGTTTGCAACTTCTTATCAAAGGAACTGAATCTCAAGTTAAGGTTATTGAGAGCCTTCATGAGATTTGGCCTGATCATATTGAAATTGACTTCTAACAGTCTAGCTGCAAAATTCTGTTAACATCTATATGCATATACATAACTTCAATATCGAAGAGGGGTTAAAAAGGCATTTACATTAAATTTGGTATTCAACAGATAAAAATTTTCGATGTCCTAATGATTTTATCAGTTTAATACCTGATGACATCCTTTGCTGGACCATTTCCTTTCTCCCTTTTGAATCTGCTGTCCAAACCGCTTTCCTTTCTACTCAATGGAAAGTCCTTTGGGAAAAGGCTTTGATGGATTTTGTGCAAAATGCTACCTTAGAAGATGCTGTTGTTGCTATATCAAACTTTCTTGATGAATTTTCTGTACTCCTTCAATCATGAAACAAATGGGATTTCCAATTTGACTTTGGCCAAGGTACAGTCCTCTTGGTCGCGATTGCGCCTAATAATACACTTCACATTGATTTCTCTGCTGTGGAACAAGTATTTCCATGGCCATTTGATTGGTTCTTAGGGCTATTATCTTCCCCTGCCAACATACCAGCCATCTTTCTAAAAATAAAGGCTCTTGATCTCATACCACTAAGCCAGCTTTCTAGCAAGGCAGTTTCTTCTATGGTGTCGAATTTCCCATTTCTCAAAAGCTTGACCATTGCAAAATGCAATGATTTACAATCTTTACATATAGATGGTGCTATAAACCTTCAAAAATTAACTGTTCAGGTTGCTCCTCTGCAATGGGATTTCTATACATCCCAGCCTGAATTCCACCTGGAAGGTGCCAAGCTTGATTGCAGACAAGGCCCTGGTAACTGCATCAATAGTCCTGGTTTTAATCAATGCTTCAAATAGAACGCGTTAAATCACTAACACTATGAATCCAATCCTTCTTTTTATGTGTGCACTAATCATATGATATGAAGATAAGCATCCTATCCACCAAATATATCTTAAATTCCATTAAATAAATAATGTTATACGTGAAAAAAAATGATAATTTTTTTGGTCATGGCTGGTGACCAATGATAGGCCAAGTAGAGGCAGAGTACCATAGACCTTGCTTTCAGATTCAATTCTCTTCCATGCTTACAAAAGAATTGCTTTCTGACCAAAGTCAATTGCCATTACTTGCATTCTAAGTAGTCCAGAAAAAGCAATGCTATATTTTCTTTCCAGGAAAGTTCAAAGTCAACCCCTTTTAATTTGACAAACCTCTGGCGGTTGAAGAAAAGATGGGAAAGCAGAGCATGATCAAGAAGAAGAATCGAGAGAAAGAACAGGATCCAGCTGACAATCTAAGAAACACTGCAAATGAACAACTGTTAGTTTTTTTTCTTAAATCTTACTTTTGCCTGTTGACATGATCAGATCAATTTTACCTATCTTTTTTCAACGAGTCCCTTTCCCCTTTCTTATGATAACACATGAAAGCACTGCTACATTTTCTTCTGACATGATCAGACTATTTTATCTTTTGATTCATTGTGGGATAAATCTTGTTTTTCTAACAGGAATATGGAACCTAAAGATTTAATCAGTTGTTTCCCCGATGAGATCCTTTTCCGCATTATCACCTTCCTCCCTTTCGAATCTGCTGTCCAAACCACTCTTCTTTCGACTCGATGGAAAGACCTTTGGAAAAAGACTTTAGTACTAAAGGGAACCATAGAAGATGTTCTTGTTAATATATTTAGTCTTCTTGATGATTTTGCTGAACTCCATCCACCAAGAAATACGTGGGGATTCCAATTTGACTTTGGCCAAGGTAGAGTTCTTTTTGTTGCCATTGCACCTAATAATACACTTCATCTTGATTTCTCCAGTGGGGAACAAGAAATTCCTAGGTCATTTGATTGGTTGTTGCCGTTGAATCTTCCATCAAGTAACCAGTGGCCATTTCCCTACAACCATGACAAGGTATTGGAGCTAAATCCCACATTGCCAGCTGATAAGCAATTCAAAATAAAAACTCTCTATCTAATATCATTAAGCTGGTTTTCTAGTAAGGCACTTACTTTGCTGGTGTCGAATTTCCCATTTCTTTAGAGTTTGACTATTGCAAAATGTAATGGAGTACAATCTTTAGATATACACAATGTTGCTAGGCTTCAAAAGTTAGTTGTCTTGGATTGCCTACAATTAAAGTACTTTTGTTTTAGCGGTTCCTGTTTAAAGTCTTTCTGTTATCGAGGCAGATTAGTGTCTTTTCGTTATCAAGCATCCTGCAAATGTAATCCCCCGTGGCTTTCATTTATGTGGAACTTTGGATTACACATGGAAGATGTCATGCTTGACTTTAGACAGGGTCCAACACAATGGACATGGCAATATGAAAACGATTTCCATTACACTCCTCGTTATGGAATCTACAAAAGGAACCATTGTGGCTGTGCCACCAAGCTTAAATGCTTCAAATCAATTGGGAAAAGCATAGATAATGTTAAATCTCTAACACTATGCAAATGGTTCTTCGAGGTATGTTTCAGTAAAGAAATGTTCGTTTTCATGCTTCTTACTACTAACCTCTAATAACTCAATCTTTGAACCTTATTCTTCAGGAATCGATATGCAAGAAGCTACTCTCTGCAAGAAGAAACCTTGGCTTTTGTTTCAACAAGCTAAAAGAGCTTTGGTGGATTGATTGTTCAATGGAGAGAGAAAATATCGATGCCTTGCTTTGCTTTCTGAAGTTCTGTCCTAACTTGGAAAGACTCTATGTGACTGTAAGTCTTCCCATTTCCTTGATTACTATGCATTTTCATGATATAAGTAGAGCGCTGCATGCTGAGAAAAATTGGTAGTAGTGACTGTTGGAATAAATTTCACTTTTCTTTGATGAAAAACTAAATGACTTCGATAATAGAATTCGTGAGAACTAATGCAACGATTAATGCACAAATTTCCTCTTCAAATATCTTATTAAGTAGTTGCCGATCAAACTTGCAGATTGATCCTAAATGCTACAACTTGCCTAGCACTGAAAAATTCTCAGCTATAGTCAGTGTTACTGATAAACTCAATGATCTCAAGGTTGTCAAATTAGAAGGGTATGGAGATGAGCAAAAGGAGATTTTATTGGCAAGGCGGTTGATACCTTTATTCAGAGGGAATCCAGTAATTCTATCAAAATCTAATGGGACATGTTTGAGGCATATGGTAAAACTACATAAGCTGGAGAAGAAAGGGATGTATCCTTACAAGTTTAAAGTGGTTGAAAATCTTAAAGAAATATGTCCTGATCATGTTCATATGAAAATTTAATTTAGTTTATGTGGAAAAACACTTATTTACAGCTGGTTGTAATCTTGTAATCTGTATATTTATATTTGTATCTCTAGAATTAAGTATTTGTATCCCTAAAATTAAGGAAGATTTAGTTTCCTAGTTTAAACCCTAGTTAGTTGTATATAAACCTAAGATTCTTGTATAATTGTAGATAAGCAGTTTTTCAATATACATTCAGTTTTCACATGGTATCAGAGCTTTAGGCTCTTCTTGGGAAGAAAAATTTTCAGCCTTCATTGCTGACTTTTTTAGGCCTTCATTGTCGACTTTTTTAGGCCTTCATTGCCAAATCCTATTTAGGCCTTCATTGCCGAACCCTTTCAAAGAAAGATATCACTATCACCCAATTTGAGGAAATGTTAACTGGAAAAATCACTGGAGTACTACAGATATCTCAGAAACAAGGAGAGTTCAACAGGGAAGAGATTGAAAAGCTGAGAAACTTATTGAAAATCCTTGAAAAGCCTACTATGGTATGTTTTTGGGTAAAGTTTCTAGTTCAGGTAAAGCTTCCGGTTCTCATGGATTAAATGTCTCGGCTAAGCCTATTACGAGTTCTTGGGTCATTGACTCAGGAGCCACAGACCACATGACACATTCCCCACAAAAGTTTAGTACATATAACCTGTGTCCTAGTAATAAGAAAATTGTTGTTGCTGATGATTCACTTACCACAGTGGCAGGATTAGGAGATGTTCAAGTTAATCCCTCGTTTGTTCTAAAAAATATTCTTCATGTTCCTGGATTATCTACTAATCTGATATCTATACAAAAACTTACCAGAGATATGAATTGCAAAGTAACTTTTTATCTCTCTTATTGTGAATTTCAGGACCAGAGTTCGGGGAAGATGATTGGACTTGCTAAGGAGAAGGATGGACTATATTATCTTGAGACATCAAATAACATAAGTAATATAAAAAATAGTTTACCTTTGTCATTTCTTTCTGAAAAATCTTTCAATAAAGACAAAATCTGGCTTTATCATTTTCGTCTTGGACATCATTCTTTTGGAAACTTGAAAAACATGTTTCCTTCTTTGTTCAAAGAATTAAATGTTGAAGATTTTCATTGTGATATTTGCAAATTTGCAAAACATAGACGTGTGTCTTTTCCAATCAGTAACAAAAGAAGTTCTACTCCTTTTTACTTGATTCATAGTGACATTTGGGGTCCCTCTACAATTCTTAATATTTCTGGTGCGAGATGGTTTGTTTCATTCATAGATGATTGTACTAGGGTCTCTTGGGTTTTTTGACTTAAATCCAAATCAGATGTGAATAGTATGTTTTTAAGCTTCCAAAACATGATCCAAAATCAATTTGGAGTAAGAATCAAGAGATTTAGGTCTGATAATGCAAAAGACTACTTCAACCAGAGTCTATCCACCTATTTTCAAAAAGAGGGGATTATCCATGAGTCATCTTGTGTTAATACTCCACAGCAGAATGGAGTGACAGAGAAAAAAAATAGCCATTTATTAGCCACAATCAGAGCCTTTTTTTTTCAAGCAAATGTACCTAAATCTTATTGGGGGAAGCTGTTCTCACTGCCACACACATTATAAATAGGTTACCTTCAAGAGTTTTGGGATTTAAAACTCCTATGGAACTACTCTCACAATTTTATCCCAACCTCAATACCACAAATAATCTCACACCTAGGATATTTGGTTGTACATCATTTGTTCATGTTCACAGTTATAACAGGGAAAAGTTGGATTCAAGAGCGATTAAATGTATTTTTATGGGGTATTCTTCAACTCAAAAAGGATGTAAGTGCTATCATCCTCCTACCAAAAAATTTTATGTGTCTGCAGATGTCACTTTTGAAGAAAATAAACTATTTTTTACTCAACCTTATCTTCAGGGGGAGACTTCATTCATGAAAGATAAGGATAAAGACTTCTTTTTGCTTGATTTGCCCCTTTCTTCAACATTTACACCCATTAATTCTTATGAGTCGAAATCTGTTTCTGCTGAGCCCAAGTCAAACATTGAATTTGAATCTGAACCGATTCCAAATACGGAAGATGTGATAAAGGATAATATTGTTCTTGATTCTATGAAGAATTACAGGTGTACTCAAGAAGGAAAGTTTTCAGATCCTGAACCAAGTGCAGTCCAAGAACCTAATCCTAACTCTGGAAATGAGGTAACTACAGTTTTTGACTCTGTTTCTCAAAATGAGCATGAATCTTCTAAAACTATAACTAGTGATTATGATTTACCTATTACCATTAGGAAAGGAACCAGAGAATGTACCAAGCATCCACTATACCCAATATCTAATTTTGTGTCATTTGAAAATTCTCACCATCCCACAAAATTTTTTTTGTGAGCCTAAACACTATTTCTGTTTCAACTACATTATCCGAGGCATTATCCAGTGAGAAATGGGGGCAAGCCATGAAAATAGAAATAGAGGCTTTAGAGAAAAATCAGACATGGGAACTGGTAGAGTTGCCTAAAGAAAAAAATTCAGTGGGGTGTAAATGGGTTTTCACTGTAAAATACAAGGCAGATGGTACTGTTGAAAGATATAAAGCCAGCTTAGTGGCTAAGAGCTACACTCAGACCTATGGAGTGGATTATTAGGAAACCTTTGCTCTAGTTGCCAAGATGAATACAGTTAGGATTTTGTTATCATTAGCTGTAAATTACAATTGGCAGCTTCAACAATTTGATGTAAAGAATGCTTTTTTACATGGTGATTTGGAAGAAGAAATATATATGAAGGTTCCACCGGGATTTGAAGGTCATCTAGAAGCAAACAAAGTATGCAGGTTAAAAAAAGCTTTATATGGCTTTAAATAGTCTCCTAGAGCTTGGTTCGGGAGATTTGCCAAAGTGATGCTAGCAATGGGATATAAACAGAGTCAAAGAGATCACACATTATTTATCAAGCACTCTGATTCAGGGAGAGTCACAGTTCTATTAGTGTATGTTGATGATATAATTGTAACTGAAGATGATGAAAAAGAGAGAGAATCTCTAAAACAGTGTTTGGCTAGAGAATTTGAGATAAAAGAGCTAAGGAGATTGAAGTACTTCCTAGGAATTGAAGTAGCTCACTCACGATATGGTATTTTTATCTCACAACAGAAATATGTATGGACTCTTTTAAAAGGAAACTTGGAAGCTGCATGGTTACACCGACAATACCCATATAATCCTACATCATTAAATTGAAAAGCTATGAAGATGCTGCATTGTACCAATAAGACAGATGACCAAAAATTAGTGGAAGACTCATTAATTCTCACATACTAGACCTGAATAGATATGTGTGAGTTGTAAGTCAATTTTGATTCCTAAAGAAGTTGCACCCTACAGCTGTTTACCGTATATTGCAACTATTTGAATCAATCTGGAGGTTCTTATTCAAAAGAGATTCGAGTATTCAAAGATAACAATGCTGATTATCAGTTCAGTTAACTGATAGAAAATCTACCTCAGGCTACTGCACTTATTTTAAGGTGTTAATCTTGTGATTGGAGAGTAAAAACAGCATGTTGCCAAGATCAAGTGGTGGAAGCAGAGTTCAGAGCCAATGGCTCAAGGAATTTGTGAACTACTATGGTTAAAGATATCTAGAAGATGAATCAAGGGAATAGACCATAGACTTTACTTGATAACAAGTCTTGCAAGACATTGCACATCTTTCAAATATCACATAAACAAAAAATTATTTGACATATAAGGAAAACTAGAAGTGGTTGATTTGTACACTTTTATCAACAAGGGTAATCTTGCCAAATGTGTTGACTAAGTTCTGTATTACAACATTTCAAGAATTTTATTAAGTCGGAATGAAAAAACTATTCACATTGATGGGTGTGTGAAAACATTATTTACAGCTGTTAATGTTTTAATCTGATATATATATATTTGTATTCTAGAATAAGTATTTGTATCTTAAAATTAATAAAATTTATCCTGTTTAACCACTAGAAAATTAGTTGTATATAATACTAAGATTCTTTATATGATAAGCAATTTTCATATACATTCAGTTTTCACGGTTTAAATATTCCTTTGCCAAGAAGAATTGAAGAAAGCAAAATTCAGATTTGTATCTTTGAACTCATGAAGACATGGTTTCTGTTTCTGTTGGATAATTGAGTTTGTCCAGGAAAATGTCATGATTTTTCGACATTTCAGCTTGAAAGTTCATATCCCTAACCTTCTCTTATGATTGTTGATTGAAAAAACAAATGCCGAAAAATATCAGCAGGACTTGATTGAAAGACAGGCACAATTCTGGCATGAAAATTTACCAAAACAAACATGTCATGAAAGCTAAAGATTAAAGTTTCAACCATTATGTATACTTTTTTTTTTTTTTTTTGGTTTATAGACATCATTCAACTTTTGTAATGTCAGCAGCAGAATTGGTTCAATTGTCTTTTCAAATAAGAGCTTGCTTTTATTTCTCACTTGACATGGAGTAATTCTTTTTGTGCATATATGTGGCATACAGAGAGCTAGCTGACCTAATCAAATAATTTTCCTCTATTCATCAATTACTTTTCCCTTCTTCCTAATATATATATCCCTAAGGAAAAACAGATCATAGGTCTTTTGTGAACATATACACAATTCCCACAGTGGATACTGGAGAGTTCTCTGACACTTTCTTAATAAGACAATTTTGGTCCTAATTTTATGTTTTAGAATCTGCTAGAAACAATACTTTATACTTATATTACTGATCTATTTCTTAGTGCCAAACTTACAATCTTCGTAGTTATAGGGAATGATGTGAGCTTGGTTTTATCGACCAAAGTCCAAGTGTTTTTGGACTTGTATTTGTTTGTAAATTTAGTTGTTGGAGGTTTCTCAATTTTGTTAGATTCTGAATCTTTCCTCATCAAGAATGAACTGATCTAAGCACCAGTGCTTTGAGATTGTCCCCTCCTGCCTCCCCATCGCTTTCCAAATGGTTGAAAATAGAGAAATAAGGTGTGTAAAAGTGGGAAAGGGAGCATTTTATTACTTGCTGCCAAAGGTGGATATGGCTGTTTTGAGCAGAAAAAACAGCATGGAAGAAGACAATTAATTAGATAATGGTTAATGGACCTTATATTATATATAAACATTAAAACATTGTACTTTCAAGTTTCAAAGACCTCTTTAGAAAGTTTAAAATGGGAAGCAAGGACTGGAGCAAAAAGAAGAATCAGCAAGAGGAATTTTATCCAGACAACAATTCAACAAATATTGAAGACACTATGAAGTAAGAACTGTTAACTGGTTTTATTTGAAATTTATTAGTACTGTTACAATCTGATCAATCTGAAATCTTGAACAGGACTTTGGGCATTAATGAACAAATCAAGGATGATATTATCAGTTGTTTACCAGATGATATCCTCAGCCGGATCATTTCCTTTCTCCCTTTTGATTCTGCCATCCGAACCAGTTTACTTTCAACTCGATGGGAAAACCTATGGAAAAAGGCCTTTTTGGCTAGAGATGGGACCATAGAAGATGTTGTTCATGTTGTTACAAGCTTTCTCAATGTTTTTCACCAACTTCGGAAATCAGATAAAAACTGGGAGTTTCAGTTTAGCTATGGCGAAGGCCATATCGTCTCAGTTGCTGTAGATCCCAATAATAATACCCTCCATCTCGATTTCTCTTCTGGTAAACCAGAATTTCCCACGGAGTTTGGCATTGCATTTTCACTAGATCACAAAATCCGTACCCATGAGCCATTTCCCTATACATTCAAAGCAAAAAGTCTTCATCTAACGTCACTCGGCAAACTTTCATGTGTGGCAGCGTCAGATATAGCATTAAATTGTCCATTTCTTGCAAGCGTGACAATCACCAAATGCAATGGATTAGAAATTGTAGATTTTGCTCTTCATTGTTCAAGTCTTCGAAGTTTAAGCGTCTTGGATTGTCCACAATTGAAAAAGCTCTTCATCGGTGGTGATTCCTTTCTTTGGTCTTTTCGATTTCGGGGATTACTCCCATGTTTTAACCGTTTCGTTTTCAACTTGGTCATTGCACATGATGCCATGCTTGATTTCAGACAAGGCCCTGGCGACATCGACATCAAGACTTTTGATTTTACCATATTCCGAAGCATAGAATACGTGAAATCGCTTACAATTTGTAGATGGTTTTTCGAGGTATATACAAATGTTCCAGTAACTTGTTCGTTCTCAAAGTCTAAACACATTAGTCATCGTTAATTCATCAGTATCTTTCCTATGATTTTGCAGACAGTAATATGCAGAAAGCTGCAAATTTCGGGTGAGAATTTATTGTTCGGCTCATTAACAGATTTGTGGTGGATTGAATATTCAGAGGCAAGATACAACAGTGATGCTCTAATTTCTTTCCTAAAATTCTGTCCACGTTTGGAGAGACTTTATGTAACAGTAAGTAACTAAGGGTACTTCTTTCATTTATTAATTTTTTTCTTATGTATAACCTTTGCTATAATTTCATGCTGGAAATGAACCTGAATTTGAAAATCCGTCTAAAAAGTCCGAACCGAATTTAACTAGAAAAGTAAAAAATCTAACCTAAAGAAAATTTGAATCCAAAATGACTCAAACCAAAAATTCTTGAACTCGAAGAACCTAAAATGATATAAACTTGAAAATTTTGAATCCCAACCTGCACTCGAAAATCACATTGAAGTAGTTATATCTTAAATAAAATCTAAAAGTTATCTAATTAGCTCGAATCTGAACTTAATCTGAACTCAAAAGATCCCAAACTTAAAAATGCTCGGAATGAATTAACCTAAAATCTCGAAACCAAAATACTTGAACTTGACATGACCCAAACTGAAATGCTCAAAGCCACCTCTACTACAATTTGCACAACTTTAGATCTTTGCATTCATTTTGATATACACTCTTAAAATCATAATCTGGTGAGAAAATTTTGTAGATTGATCCTAGCAGCTATGGCGTGAGCGGTAGATATTGGTATCCAGAGAAAGTTCCATGGACTTTAAGTAGAAAAAATCTCAAGGTGGTCAAATTAGAAGGATTAGCAAATGAAGAAGAGGAGATCTTAGTTGCAATGAAGTTGAAAGAGTTATTTTCAGTTGAACCATTGATTATAGCAAAGTCAAGTCGGACTTGCTTGCGGCGTCTAGTGAAAGTACCCAACAAGAAGATGAAGAAGAAGAAGGAAGGGAAGTTACCATACAAGTTCAAACAAGGAGTTGAAAATCTTCATGAAGTATGCCCTAATCATGTTCATATGGATTTGTAAGAGTAATAAATTTCAGCTTGTGCTTAAATTTTCTTTGTAAAAAAAAAAGGATAAAATCAGTTTCTCAATGAATTTGAAAGTAACCAAATAATGTTACTATGTATGTTAATTTGTTATGGGATAGTACCAAATTATGAAAGAAATTCAATTTATGACTAATAATTATAGAATTCATTTTCTATACACAGTCCGAATTATTTTTAAACTCTACAAGTTGTGCTAGAATATTTTCACATGTTTAGTTACTTTTTATATAAATTTATTATTATTTTTAAATATATCTTTATAGATCCTACTAATAAAATTTTTGAATTCGATATCGATGAATAACATAATTTTTCATAATTACATGAAAAGCTAAATCATATATTCTTATCTATTTTACCAAAGAATGACAAACATGTATACCAAATATATCTTCTCCATAGGAATCATCCTTCCACTATGTGCTTAAGAATATGACTCCTTTCTTACCTATCTCGTCTCTCATTTATATTTATATTTATATACATTACCTCTTAGTTTTGCTGTAAATTGGGCAATGTCTCAATCATAAACCAAATTCATGGGTCAAGACACATGGGCTGGGAAATTTTAAACTCAATAAACTGACTAAGCCCTCACTAATAAAGGAAAATAATGTAAAATTTGGCCCAAAACTATCATAACTACAAACCAAGCTTTTCTAAAATTAGGGGAGACTTACAAGTTATAACTATGTGGATTAATTTCAAATGGAAAATTTTAAATTTGAACTCTCCTTAGTGTGCATTGACATGTTGAGATGAAATTATTGTAGAAGTTAAAATTATAAGGTGGATTTTAATCAGGTTGGAGTTTGATCCCAAACATTTACATCCTCTTTTATAATTCTTTTTTACTTTGGCCTCTTTTATATATATAAAAATTAAAAAAAAAAAACATAAAAGTTAAACCCTAATTAGATGTCTTTTAAAAATTCAACAACAATTTTTTTGTTAATATTTTGGGTATATGTTAACTAGTTTGCTTCAGTTAATGTGTTTTAGTCTCTAATGAATTGAAATTAATTAATATGCAAATTTTGTCCTTAAATTATCTCTCTTGCTCTATTTTATATATATATATATATATATATATATATATATATATTTGGTACAAAGAATAATCAAAGCCTAAGGGATAGAAGAAGGGAAATTGTTAGTGATGGAATCCAACTTTAACTTTACAAGAATCCACTTTGTAAGAAAAGGGTGACAAGTTATTTGGATTAAGCTCTAGGTTTAGAAATTAGAAACCATTAAAGGGATATCATATATATTATTATATTATATCATATATAAATACATGATAAGATTTGTCATATAGACATTTATATGGATAACTCTTTAGATGACATATAGGATAGTTTTTTTAAATAGTATAATTTTTTTAATTACAAATTGGATAATTTTGATATTATTCAAATATCAAAATTATTCAAATTATAATTAAAAATTAAATTAATTTAGAGATATGGTTTTTTAAAATTAAAATTTTGAAATATGAATTTTATCCGAATAATTTTAATTTTTACCAAATAACCTTATTTTATAAATGATTTAATTATTAAAACCTTTCAATATGTTTTAAAATTATAAAGATAAAATTTATCTAAATCTTTCAAAAACTTATTATATATTTTTTATCTTAATTTGTATCAAATAAAAATTATCTTTTCAAAAATTTAGGTGAAATATTAAAAATTCAAATAATTTTTTATATTAAATCTCTAAATAATAGGACATATATCCATCTCAATTATGATTATCAATTTTATAATTAAAAAAAAGGTAAGAAATTTGATTTTATTTTTATCACTTATTATATCCTTTTAATTTTTTAAATAATTTGAAAATTATTTATTCAATTTTAAATGTAATCCAAGAGTTATTCTACTAATTCAAGAATATAAATGTAATGTATTATATCATTTTTTTATTTTTGATTTGTAACTTTTTTGAATTTTATTACTATTGCAATTTATTTTTTTGATTTGCATCTTTATTTTTTCAAGATATATTATATTATTATTGCAAATTTGTTCTTATGAAAATTAATATTTTTTCAATTTATTATTTTTTTTCACACATTTTCCAACATCTTTTCATATTTTGTATAACAATTTAAATAAAATTACAAAAGTGAAAGTATGCTTATACTTTTTTGTTATTTAATTCATCATTCCATAATATATATATATATATTGTTATTTTAGGAAAGATATGTAATTTAATTTTATTTGATATAAATTTTAGATGCATAAATATTATTGCAAATAAAGATTGTATAAAGTTAACACATATCATTTTCTTCTTACTTTTTTTATAAAAAAATTATTTTTAATGACAAGTTAATAGATAATTTTGTTATATGTTATAAATTTTGAAATTTTGAATATAATTTTTAAAAAGTACTAATTTATATTTATGTACACATTAAATAAATAAAATTATTCTGGGTCACAATTTAGCTTTCTTCTGTTTTATTATCTTCCCATTTTCTTTATGAGAAAATACAGTAATTTATTTATAAAAACATGAAATTTATCAAATACGATCATTATAAAACAACTCAATTCTTTTATATATATATTATTGTTATACATAAATAATTCAACTAATTTAATTTTAGAAGAATATAAAAATTTAAATGATTGATAAGACCCCAAGAAAAATTATCCAAACAAAAATATTGGCCGTCGATTTTGTGAACCCAGTCAATTGAAAAGTTTCCCAACAACCTGCCATCCGAGGCAAAAAACAATGGCCAGGAACAAAAGGCCAGTCCAATTCCATTGTATTTTCGGCCGGTCCAACTCATTTCCTATATATAAATATATATATATATATAAATATATTTATTACTTGTTTTATTTTTACATGTAAATTTTTTTATGTGAAACTAAATTGAAAATTCTCTATTTAATAATATATATATTTTTATCTAAGCAGCAGGCCAATTATTTTTTTCTATGCAAAAAAGAACCCAACAGATTTGAAGCTTTCAAAGTGATTACCCTCTCAAGAAATGAGCAATTCTTTCTTCACAAATAACAAACATTTTGTTGCTTTTAGACTTGGATATCATTTGTCTAATCTGGTTTCTTTAGTTTTACGTGAATTTTCCTTTATGTACCTAAAAAAAGAATTTGTGATTTTAATATTGTTGGTTTTTATACTAAAAAAATAGATTTAATAATTTTAGATAAAATATAGAAACGATAAAAAATATATATGAAAAGTCATATGATTTAAAATTGATAAAAATTTTATGCAGGTTTAACAAAAAAGTGTATTTAATATTTGACAAATTGATAGAAATTGTGATATAATAATTTTTATGTTTTGTATATGTCACACCCCATGATCGAGATATAATAAAACCATATTAGTTTGAAATAAAATCTCAAAATAATATGAAATCTAATCCATAATCATTGAAAAATCTTTAAATAAAATAAAATTTTCAATAAGTTTTGATATCTGTAAAATAACTAAATAATAAGTCTCCAAATCGTCAATGTTGAGTATTGCAACTAAAAGAAACAATATTTTATAAAATTTTATTCTCTAAGTAGTTCTTCAATGCTCAAATTCTTTTAGCTTTTCATGAGACTAATCATATTTATCATTTATATTATCTGTAAAAGAAAAAAAATTAAGAATGAGCAAACCATAGCTCAGCAAGTATAAGCTCACACAATCAAACATTATTTTCATATGTACTATATAGATTATTCCAAAAACATTCATCAATCATAATATCAAAAATAATTCAAAGATCAACATTTTGTCAAATATTTTGTAGATCATAAATCAATATCAAAACATGTCACCAAATCATGGATCAATTTATAAAAATCATCATAAATCATTATTATCATTTATTTCTCGTTAACTACGGTCACTATTATAACTCGTGACATTAGCCGTATCAATAATTTCATTTTCTTGATCATTGCTAATTATTATAACTTGTTAGCCAGAGTCTTACGCTAATTACTATAATCCATTAACAAAGCCGTATGATCATGTCTATGCTAACTACTATAACTCGTTAGCCAAGGCTATATGATCCTATATATGCTAACTATTATAACCCGTTAACCAGAGTTGTAGAACTAATTCTGGTGTCAATGATTTCATTTCATATGGATGTAAAAATATAGCTATCATAAAATCATTCCTTAAACATAAATAATTTTCTTATTTTATTTATAAGCGTGATCTATTGTTTATATGTTTAATCCTATTTTCATATATCGAAAATAATGAAATAAAACATTTACTAATTTTAAAACATACATATATACATAGATTCAAAAACAAACAAAATGTGTGGGATTCTACTTATCTCCTTCCGATTCCACCACTTAATTTTTCCCCTAAATAATTAATGGCCTATTAAAAATAATTTCAACATAACAATAATTAATCAATCCATTTTGAGACCAATTATACAAAAAATAATTAGGTTAAACAAAGATTAACTCAACTAATTAATACTGACAGCCTAAGCTTCTTTCACTAAAACAGTCATATCTTAAGATATACAATTTGAAATTAAGATCCTTTTAATGCGTTAGAAACTAAACTTGATAAGCTTTCTAATCATATGTGGCCCATCTTATGATTCCTTGTAGATTAATTATTATAGTTATTATAGTTTTTGCAATCCATGTCATATATTGCTACCAGATAACATGTATACCTTCTAATAAAAATTACGTATTTATTCACAAGAGACTCAAAATTCAGTTTCGCTTATTTTATTAGAAAGTAGACTTAGTGAGATTTTAAACATGTATGGCTCAATACACAATTCCTTGTATAAAAATTAAGAGGAATTTCGTAATTCCTCCCTGCTGCCTCTACAAAGCAACCTACATATCTTTAAGTAAAAATTAAATTACTTTTCATAGCAAACTTGGAATTGACTTTTGTTTATTTCATTGGAAAGTAAATTCAACAAGCTTTCTA